GCTTCACAGTGTCGGGCGAAAATATTTTCTCCACTGTTATATCTTTGAACTTACGTAGTAATGTTACGATGCTGTGGTTGCCTATGTTATCTGAGATAGGAGTGAGAGACAATGGTGTATTGATTTTAGATATTTGTGCGAGTGAATGAATTGAACTTAACGGATCGATGATGCGTCGCCGTTTTACATCTACTATTAATCCATAATAATGTATAAAATCTGCACCAATTATGGGTTTCTTCACATCCGCGATAATAAATTTCCAGTTGAAATTTCGACGTAGACCTAGTTCTAGACGTATAGTACGTGTGCCATATGTGTGGATTGTTGAATGATTCGCTGCGTATAATGGCGAGCCGCGGTTGCACTCATTTTTTTCTTTGACGTTGGCAGGTATTACGGAAACATCAGCACCGGTGTCAATTAAATAATGGTTTCTCGTTATCCGGTCGTAAATGAATAAGCGGTGAGTGAAGGGACCGTCGCATACCGCTATTTGGGACGGACCTGTTAGTTTTCCGCAGTTGTTTCAAATGCACATGGTTTTGTGCATTTCTTTGCCCTTTCTGCAAAACGGCGGTGGTAATAACACAATCCCTCCGGTGGCGGAGTAGCATTAGATCGTTCCCTTGTTCTGCTTTTCGATCGGTTTCGCGGAATGGGGTTCTTGTGTCCACGAAGTTTGTTCAGCTCACGAAAAATATCGCGTTTGAATTCTTCTAATTTCTTATCTAAATCGGTTTCATGATAGGTATTCATGCGTGATGAATTTGATTGCACTTCACGTGTGGCGACTTCTGTTACTACCGAGTTAGAATATGTTTCAACAATTTTATCGGCCATGATGGCCAAATTGTCTAACGATTCAGAGCTAATTGCTAAAACTACTTGTACTTGTTGGGGAAGCCTCTGTAGCCACAGTTTCTTTAGTAACTCATTGGAGATACTGGTACCGGATAGCGTCTTCATTTCTCTGAGTAACTGAGTTGGTTTACGATCGCCCAAGTCAAGATCGCGTAACAGTTTTTGTAGCTTCGTATCTTCCGATTCCGTGAGGCGGGATATAAGTGCATTTCGAAGTGTATCAAATTTATGGTTTTCTGGTGGTGATGTGATAATGTCGCTTACCAGTTTTAGTGCTTTTTGACTTAATGCAGCTACGATTGTAAAATATTTTGTGGTATCTGCAGTTATGCGCGATAGCTCGAACTGGGCTTCTACTACTTTGAACCACAAGGCTGGATCTTCCTCCCAAAATACGGGTGGTTTGACTGTAATTTTCTCGATAGCTGTGCTCGTAACAGAAGTCGATGTACTTGGTGGTAAGATTGGAGTATTCGTTTCGGATGCATCATTGTTATTTGCCATTTTAAACGTAAAAATGCAAACGTTTTACTGTTTGATTTATATAACGTTTATGGAGATATAACTGTATGCCTGTTCCTGTCAGTAGATAATAACTGTTATTTTCCTTGTTTCTTAATGACGGTGTGTTGTTTATCGAGGGTCACCAATGTAGTGTGGTCACTATTCAGCGTTTAGAATAGAATTAAATAACACTAATAATATTTTTATATTTGATTAAATGACATATTCAAATTATCACCATGTAAACTAAAAAACTACTGTTTCAGATCCACCCATGGATCGCCACAATATTATTAATTTGAGTTTTTCTCTTAAATTTGATTAGATATGTAATATAATGAGTTGTTAATGCTGTTACATCCAAAAAAGTGTACTATTTAAGAATATGTCATAAAAACTAGTACCTGCTTTTAAAAAAATATGCCTCCCCGTGATCAGGCAGAAGTACGCCACTGACCACAAGTGCATATTATATAGATTGGTAGCTAGTCCAGGGAATAGAGGGTTTTAACTTGCAAAATGAGAAGTAGTTCCAATTTCTTTTGCATGTCATAGACAGTGATCTGGTGGTTAAGAATCTAAGTTTTCGACCTTCCACCCCTTGTGCTTCCCCCGTACCACCCCCAAAACACTTGAAATTTGGACGGTTTCTTAGTTTTTCAATTATATCTTTTTATAGATTCACTTTACAAAAAATATTGTTATCAGAAATTGTAGACCATAAAATTCTACACAATACATTACTTTTTTTGTGAAATATTTATTAAAAAAGATATAGAGCTTCAAAGTTGCTCATATTTTTAAGAATTACGAAATTTCTATGTATATGTTTTAACCAAAATTTAATCTTTATCTCTATAATTAAGAGTTTTATGAGAAAATATCTTGAATTTATCGTGATATAAATCTCCCTACCCTGCACTCTTACAGAAGGGGATGCATAATAATTCAACTTTCAACCCTTGCTAGTGGGGATATTTGAATCACTGTGAGATTGTAGCGCTTTCTAATAATAAATAAAAAAACATTGTTTCACTTCAGTTCAGCTTCTTTCTCCCCCCCTCTCCCCCCGGAGGGAATGAATATTTAACCCCTTGTGGCGATTGATAAGCTAGTTAGAGAGTAAGTACAACGCTTATTACTTATATTTTCTCATATTCTCGTTCCGGTTTTTAACCCTTTCCACCCCCAACTAAAATGAGTGGTTCAATCCTCGGTTGTTGATTGCTCGATTACACTTAGATAATGACATTTCTGAATACACATTGCAAATAAAAAATGTTTACTATTCATGTTCATATAAAATAATGATTTGTATATTGTGTTCGAAAGCGATATAATCTTAGATAGTTGAACAATCACTACTATAGGGGATTGAAGTAATCATCCCTTTTTGTAAGAAATGGAAGGGATTAAAATGAAGTAAGACCACTTTTCTTACTTGATAATTGTATTCGAAAGCGCCATAATCACACAGTGATTCAAATACCTACTACGACCAAGGGATTGAAGCGCTATCATCCCCTTTGATAGGGGTAAAGGGTACCGAAATGGTCATAATCGAGTTATTTTCTCATATAAATCTTATGATTATAAAGATAACATACAATTTCGTTAAAATATGTACCTACATAGAAATTTCGGAATCTTCAAAATAAACTTTGAAACTCTGTATCTTTTGAAATAAATAATTTACGAAAAAAAGTATATGACAAATCTATGTAAAATTTGCTGTTCTACAATTTCTAATAACAATATTTTTCTGTAAAGTGAACCTATAAAAAGATATGATTGAAAAACTAAAAAACCAACCAAATTTCTTTGGTTTTAGGGGTGGTACGGAGGAAGCACAAGGGGTGGTAGGTCGAAAACTTGGATTCTTAACCACCAGGTATTCCTACATGACATGCAAAAAAAGTTGTAACTACTTCTCGTTTTGCAGGAAATGGTCCATTTTCAGTCTCTATTCCCCGGACTAAGCCAACTTCTTATAATTTTGGATATCATAAAACGCTCAGCGTTGCAGAAAAAATTTTCACCCTGTATACACAATGCCGTTATCACTCGCGTTATCAGCATTTATCTTACGGTGGAAAGTTGTAACTCTCGAGGCTGTATTTTACTGTTAAAATATTATGTAGAATGTTCGAGTAATGGTCTGAATTTCGATGGCCGATGGTCCTGGATTTAATACAAACACTTATATGTACAGTAACAATCTTCTGTGGCATTATATCGTAGTTCAATTCTGCCTTGATGAGGATACAATAAGAGATTGGAACCAAAAAAGTACTAACGTGAAAGCAAAGCACTTCTTAGGGAAGGTGAAGTGTGCCCAAATTTAGTTAAGCCAAATGGAGTGCAACCTTTCTTTTACGAAATGTAGTTATGAACGTCGCCAAACTACCTTTTAGTTTCCCTCGGAAACTCAATTTGGCCAGCAACGAAGTTAAGTAACTTAAAAGTATTAGGTATAGAAATGAAATAAAAATGTTTCCTTTCAGCAATTCTCATCTACATAATGTAAGGAAATGGTTAAATGACCGAACGGTTCTGAAACCTCGGATCAAAGATACGCTAAGGCGAGCCAAAGGTTAAATTCAATTACGAACAGGGCGCTCTGTATAATATTCAAAAACCGCCCTAGATCCTTCTGAAAGCGAGATCAAAGCGGGCAAGTTCGACAGAAAAGTACAAAACATCTTAAATTTGTTTTACAGTGCAGGCTACAAAATAAACAAAATTATTTGTATAAAGACTTTTATCTGCGTCTTTTTATTGCAAGAATTATCTCCACTCGTGCTTAATGATACAAAACTTCCTTGCACGATAAAACTATGGAAGTTTAAACATCTCCCCATTACAGAGAATCCCGAATCCGTATCCCGCTGCCCTAGTAACTCTCGAATTAACTCCGATCTCGTCCCAGGAAAGATCCTCACTAAAGGGTGTGGCACTTTCCCGGGGTGTGTGTGTTGCGTTTAGATTCACGCAGAGAAACGCAATTGCCTAAATCTCTTCGAGGATCTAAGTTTTCGCGTAAAACGCATAAGTTTAGCTTGAATTAATGATGGGAAGATGCTAATGGTGAAAGAACAACGGGCGCGTTTTTCCACGCCGGCTTTGTTTAGGTTCGTCGTGCTCGATATGGAAAAGGGCAAAGGGAGAAAGAGACTAACCAGGTTCAGTTTTTACGAGAGACCTACGTGCTTTGGTTTTAAACGATTTAAAACCCTGGTCGTAAGTGACCGTAAATTTAACTTATTTTTTATTACCTACGTACAGTAAATTAGGTACAAAATCCCACGAGTTAGCAGGTGGTGTAATTATTACGCTAACGCTAATTCAATTGAGGCGGCACATGGTCATTTTTCACTGTTATCCAACAGTGTTTCTAAAAAAAACTCTTTGGGTTCGTTTATAAACGAAATGGTCTAAATATGTGTATTGCAGATGTTTTAATGATAAATAAAGCGAGTTTGTCGCAGATGGAAGTTCAGACAGTAAGTTTAATGTAGGCTAGAACAAAAAGTAAATCAAAAAGCGAGCACATACGAAATAAAAGCAATTTGTTGACTTCCGTTTTAAATCAACACTTCCTTGTGCGCGCTAGGTCTGAGAAATAATCTTACCAAAGTGCTTTTTCCTCTCGGATAAACCGAACTAGTCACAATCACCACCACCTCAAAGGTGCACAAAGGGTACTTTTTCTAAGGTGCAAAAAAGGGGTGCGCAATAAAAAACAAACAGTTCCGGTTAATCCCGCCAAGAACTTAAAGGATATACGCGATAACAGCGAGCGCAGCGATAGGAAGTGACGGTGCTGAAACGTTGAAACACATCGCGACGCGTTGTTCTTCAGCATCCACGACGCATTCGCAGTTAAACAGCGGCAGAGCGGTTTCGTTTCTATGGTAACAACGCCATTAAGTCATCGTCCCTTTTGTGTGTAATGCTTCTATGATACGCTCATAAGGACATTATCTATTGTTGTTTACATAATAGGATGCTCCAGACGTTACTCCTAGTTACAGCGTTTAATTTCCACCTCTCGCCGAAAGTAAAAAGAGGCCGCCAAAAAAAAGTTAATTAAGTGTGTCAACAGTCGGGGGAACAAAGCGGGCTACGATAAAATTCCTTTTAGCGCACTTTATGGCAATTAATTACGGGAGGTAATTGCGTAGTTTCCCAAAAACTCGTACAGAGGAACAGAAATCCAAGTGCTAATCTTTCATAATGGAGCTTTACTTTTATTACTTTCACTTCATTTGCCCGACGTATCAACATTACTCAAGCTCAATTAGGGGGCGCTGCGTCAAAGTGATAAGATATTCTGTACATTTTACTGTTGTTTAAACGAGGGTAGGCTTCATTTGCAATATGTGCCCTTGTGATAAAATCGCATTGTTTTTGCTCTCATTTGTCAGGATTAAGATAAAAAATTGTTTATGTGTGGGGGTGAACTGTTTGATTGACCTGCTGAATGACAGCAAATACTGGCGTTCAGTACCCGATTAAATACTGATGTAGTTACGAGGTCCTGAATACCTCAAAAAAGATGCAAAAATCATTTTAATTTACTCATTTGTAACTAAATACAATACTTCCTTAAATCTTGTATGGCGTCTTGGATCGACAGTAAATGAAAAATAAGTTTGGGAAATAAGAATTCCATTTTAATCCTGTTCTACAGGTATTTTCCGCTTCCCGTTTCAAAAGAGTATGCAATTGTGGTTTTCCATAATGAACATCTTTTCCTAGAATTCATTTAGTTTTTTTTTAATTATTAGAAAATAATATCACTCTTTATGGATCGGTTTAATTTTAGTACAGAGATAGAATATTATTAACACTTTCAATTTACACGCTGAAAGAAGTTCGTCTTCTATCAAATGTGCGCAGGATTGCTCCGAAAGCATAGCAAAAAAACGTAAACCGCTACACTGTGTAAAAAGGCATTGTAATCGGTAACTTTAGAACATCCCAGGTCGCCCTGTAGTCTAGAAGATAATACGAGAAAAAAGGTAGGCGAACTTTCGCTTTATATTTCTTTTTTAAAATAATTAAAATCTCGGAAATATTCATTGAAACGGAATTGGAGGGTGGTTCTTGTTGATGACATCGTAGATGCATCTAATAAACGATCGCTGCGCTGGTTCGAAACACTTATTTGGTTATTGCAATATTTACTGTTGTGAAGCACAGAGTTTGTTTGTTTTCCCTCTTAGAAATTTGTTGGATGCGTAATTTTTTGTTGTAATTGTATCGCTTTTTTCAATTATTCAATTTAGATACAGTGTTAGAAGTAAAGTTACTTCGTACGCTCAAGATTGAGGGATATATGAGTGTGATCTGGCCCAATGTCATCAAAATCTATCCAATCGTTTAGGAGGAGTTCAGTCACAAACACACGTACAGTAGAATTTTATATATAAAGATTTGTTGCACAAGCAAGTTAACCAAAGGGTGTAACGCGTGTTGTTCGATTACGGAAGAAGTTTTGTCAAATGAGAAAAGTTATAGTGCAGTGAGACCTTTTGTTAAGGTTCTCTTTTTATTAAAAGTTAAAGCTTAAAGCTATCAAAACTTTTTGTCATATTCAATCAATTAATTGGGCGCTTATTCGAATCCTTTGCGCGACCCGGATAAAGTTTTTGATGTTAGAGGTTTGAGATGATTGGTTTCCACCACAAATAGCAACAATTTCCACTAAAATTCAGGATTCTGTGGTATTCCGTGAAGCGGATGACACTGGTGATCCTGCACCTTCAACAAAATTCTATACAAATTTTTCATCATCTTATCAGGACCAAATCGCCGACATTAAGTGATTCATCGAAATGATTCCATTTTAAGCGTATTTGCAAATCGGACACAGCGCGTGCAAAAGTGTTGGTGTGAAGCTTGAACGTGGATAGACGGTTTTCCACTATTTTGGTAACGACAAGATAATGTATAGCTGTTAACCTTCTCCCGATTGGAAAATGACCAGGATTGAGAGCTTCCAAATCGTTAGGATCTGATGAAAGAAGCTTAATAGGTCAGGAGTTTGCTGCCTGGTTCAAAACGCTGTGGTAAACTGTTCATAGGCACGTAAGTTTGCGGTCGCGTAAAATTCAGTAAGCAAGGCAAAGTAATCCCGTTATTCCAAAGTGAATCAACAATATCAGATCTTGTCCCGAACGTGCAAAAAATTAGCCTAATTCTATTACTTCTGCGTTAGCTCCTACAAAAATCCTTCCGTTAAATAAATAAAACCGTTTTGCCATGATTTGTTATACGTCTTTGTTTAAAGTTACCTTATTAAAATTGTTTTTTGAAATTTATTTTGTGTTTTGTAACTGATAAAAATGTCATGATATCTGAGAAACTAATGAATTTAGTTATAACACTTATAACATATGGTTAATAAACAAAATATTTAAAATTGAGTCGACAATCAAAATAAGTAATAATATGCAGGGTGTAATATGTAAAAATAAAATAAAATCCGAGATTCTCCACAACTTTGTGGGCGACTTTGGATATTTCAATTTATCTCAGATATGTAGATGTTTAATAACCCTACAATTTTTATATAAGACTATTTTTTATAGCCCCTGTATATTTTGAAATAATCGACCGTTCTGGTAATTTTCTCTAACCCTGTATACGAATTAATCCCAAGAAATTCATGAAAGGCGTGCGACGGCAAGGTTTACTGTGTGAATTTAAAGGTTTTTGCTCCTTTAAGGACCTTAACTTACCTCCAAAATCGTGTTTCTGAGTCATCCTGGATAGGGCCAACAATGATCTAAAGGAAATTAACTTACCGAACAGTATGAGAAAGAAGTAAGGAAAATGGCACATTACTGGCGAGGAAATATTGAAGTACGAGGCCCCTACTTTAATTTCCGAGTCAAGTAATGTTATTTTACTGACGAGTTTTTGATTAAATTTTACCCGAAATCGTATTTTAAATTTTAAAAAATTGGTATTTTCAAATAGAACTTTTGATTAATGTCAATCTGTCAGTGGTGACAGAAGTCATTATAGATATTACCAATGTGCCGGTAAAAGTAGTTTGATCTGCCTCTGTCATAGAAACTAAAATTTTCTGATATGAAGTAGGCATGAAAATGAAGCTTTTGTGACGATTTTGGGTGAAACAAAGTATACATACACTACTTCCAACTGTCGAAGTGTCGTCTCGAACAGACGATAAATCTTCTTTTAGAAGGCTGTCCCAATGGCGTTTGTAACTTCGGTTTGATATTGTTTTCTGTCTAGCACTGTATGTAGAATTTATGCTGTTTTTACGTGAAGACATCAGGTGTTGATGTTATCCTGCCACTCCCTAGTCAATGCCTTCACTTTTTTTTACTTTCCCTCGAAGTGCGTGTTCATGTAGTTCTATTTTTTTGGTAAAATTCTTTATTTTTAAATGTACTGTAACTGCCGTTGTAGCAGTTAAAGAATTCTATAAAGCCGGAAATCTCTTTGACAATGTTTTCTTTGTGGTGGCCCTTTTTAGTGGAGATACTCCACTAAAAAGGGCCACCACAAAGAAAACATTGTCAAAGAGATTTCCGGCTTTATAGAATTCTTTAACTGCTACAACGGCAGTTACATTACAGTACATTTAAAAATAACGTGTGCTAAATTTTTAGTTGCCCCTGCAACAAAATTGCGTCACTCACCAACCCAAGGAATTTCTGCAGTCTCCAAAACAACCTTTTTCAAGCTATACGGACTATTAACGCCAGCAGATGTGGTATTCTTTAACAAATTATGTTAGAAATATGTTATTTTGACTCGTACACTTTCATTTTCTAGAGGATCTATTGATAAATCAGGTGCAAATTGAAACTGCAAACTGACCAATGTCTTTTTAATTGCCGTGGCCCAAATTGAAAGCACTTTACCGAGCCATTCCAATGTTTTGTATACTTTGTATACAGACACACAATTCAGAAATTCTGTTGTTGTATTCAACTGATTCTCAGGGTCTTTATAGCGGTGATGTACCATTTTCCATTTCTGTTTTCCTAATATTTAAGATTAGGACTTAAGATTTCTTTTTGGAAATATCTGCAGTAACAGGAGAGTGTGATAGATAGGGATTTGTGTAAGTTTCGTCCACGTTTACTTTCACCTTTAATAAGAATAATTTCTGGGGACATGCTTTAGTTATCTTATCAGGATGCACAAATGTGTCTTCCTTTAGAAAATGTTTTCGGTGTATGAAGTTCAATTGCGGTTTTCCGTAATTTAGATCTCCTTTCACCTCTACATGATTGACACAAACATTTTTTGCTGATGTTTTAAGTTTAGGACCTATTCCTTCCACTTTTGTTCTCCTGATACTTACAGTTTTCTTTCTAGAACTGTCTTCGATATCAGGAAAATACGAAATGCAGTTACTGATTTCTGTAGGTTTCATCCAACTTTACTTCCACTTTTTCAATACAAATTATAATTTTCGCACGCTTTAGTATCAGGAGCGCATGATGAAAGGAGAAGTAATAAAAATAAGGTCTTTGTGTCCAATTTTTATGTTTGATTAAGAAAGTACTGGAAATTTTCTTCATCCCATTGCTATTATTATGCGGTGAAACACGTGCTCCAAAAGAAATAAGCCGGTTTTTTTTAATGTTGCATAGAATGAAATATCGCAACCCAGAGTAGAGGAAAGATATTTTGGTTCTGATTTCGTTATTCAATGGTTTGGGTGGTAAAAGTCAATTTCTTCAATTGCCAACTTGCTCAAAAGTGAATTTCAGCGTCGCTTATGGTATGTAACGTCCCTGCAGTAGAAAATTGTACTA